TAAAATTGAATAAATATCCAAATCAAGTTGAAGTTGCATAAGATGTAATTTCAAATTGGTTGAAATTGCTTAAGATGAAAAATTATGATTCAATTATAATCCTTCTTCTGAGATTGTATATGAGTTCGTTTGATGTCAATAAGGAATTATTTAACGCGATCTATTTTAAAAATGTTGATGATCTTATATATGTGTACATAAGAACAGTTTCAGTCATATTGTCAAAAAAATAAATATTAGACCAGTAACAGCCAATTGTTGCCAATATTCATGAGCTTCCTCACTTTCAGCCAATGACAACTTGAATTTACTATGGAGCGATTAAATCCGTGGATGCTGATGTATTTTTGTTACCGATGATACAAGAGTTACTGCTACTTTTGGATTATGGAGTATTCATAAATAATCACCGGATTTCATTGAAAATTCGAGGATTAGTAAAAAGCGTTGAAAACTTAAACGGGTAGCATGGATTAAATGCACTGCCAAGGGGAAAGATTCTCCAGATAGGAGAGCCATGGTGTTTCCAAAAGCAGATGCAGAGCTGAGAATTCATGAGCTATTCCGTGACGGTAAATATCCAGATCATCAACGCGGTGTATAACCAACAATCAATACAAAACTAACAATTTTAAATTGGCTCACTACTTGATTAGCCTATTGGTCCCAAGCAAACGATTAAAGTACCCGATTCTAGTCGAAATTCTAGTACTACGCAATGTTTGTTTTGATTCGCTATGAAAGTTTGACAGATAAAATAAGGGGTTATTGGTTTTTCCTATGTTTCGAGGGGTGAATCGATTAGCTTGGGACCGAAGAGAGTGCCAGAGCTGAGCCAAAAAGTTGAGCACGTTATTTCGAGACCTTCTAGTCTTAGAGTTACCTCTATGGTATAACCGTTAATAAAATTACCGATTGGACTGATTGGTGGAAGACGTAATTGTTGCCGATGCATTACATTAACTGGAATTAGGAGTAATGCGGAAATTACTCAATGCATAGCGCACCGGATCGATGACTGAAAAAGTTAAATGGAGTGTCAAAGAAAACCAAGAAATTTCAGCAAAGCTCATTGTAAATATTCAGGTTTCCAAGTGAAATTCATCGTCGTATGCGCTCATTGGACCACATATCTCTTTGAATGGGCTTGGAATACATAATTTCTTACAACTAAGTAGGTGCAGTTCTGCTCAAATATCACCTACCTTCCAGATATTACGAGCACTTCACACCAACCAACCTCTGGGAACCATGTTTGTTGCAAATTAAATTAGTTCATTACTAATCACATAAATGTACAGTTGAAATTATATAACATAATAAGTCATATATCATGCAGAACAAGATTGTATAATGCAATCTGCACTGCTCTAAGCAGTTTCAGCTAGAGGAAGAATGATATCATATAATACACCAGATCGAATTAGATTTAATCACGTATACAAGCGAGGCACCATAATTTGAAATTTATTGCTCCGAATATACATGCTCATATGCGATCGAGGATCGCAGCAAGACTACGGAGGTTAAGATCTTTGGTTCGCAACTTAATCTAGCGCAGTTTTGCACCAAAAGGAATTTTTTTATTACTGATGGCTTCCAAATTTATTTACCTTTTACGTACCGTAAGATTTGATAAAGAGAAACCAATCGTTGAGATATTATCAAAAGTCTACCACTGCTTCTTGACGCCAAACTCGGCCTACGGATTCTAAACTCAACCTAACGCATTGAAACGCCATTGAAACGAAAATGAATTCACTTCGGCCTATCAGATGAAGATAAAAATTGGTTCGGTCGGAGCGCTTCTTTTGTTTTTGGGAATAATGGATGCAAACCTTCACATCACGCGTCCTTATTGACTTCGTTCCGTAGCTTATTAACTAAAGTATCGTACCAAACGCATAATTGACTTGTTAACTCTGAAATCATGGATTTGTTTGATGTTTTCTGCTCGATAGGCCCAAAATGGGCGATTAGGCCGAAGTAGTTCTCTACCCTATATGCACAGATATTTGATTTTTTTTTGTTCTGCCGAACTGAATTTCGGCTCTTATCTTTGAAATTGAAAAATAGGCTCGTATTTTATTTAATTTGCCTTGCTGAACTGGTAACCGTCCTTTGAAAGTTATGCTTGGATTTTATAGAACGGACCTTGCTGAATTCATACGTGATGATTATTTTTTAAGCACACACAAATCCAGGTTAAAATTGTCAAAAGTACGTAGTTTTGTTAAAGTTTGGTTTTTATGTTCAGCCAAGATGAATTTTGGCTCCTTACTTCGGATTTTGTTGAATAGACCTTCCTAAATCCATAGGTTTTGTTAGATTTTTTGAAGCACGCGCAATTGTTGAGAAAACTTTGTTTTAATTAACAAAGTAGCTATTTTCATATCCATTTGGGTTTCCTGTTCTGCCATGTTATATTTGAATAAGGAAGAACTATCGAAAACAGAACGTTTTTTTTATAATAACTATTACGTTTGTGGTATTTCGCTTGATGGTTTACCCGGATTATCAAAACCCAAAAATCAGTTGCTTTGATCCTATTCATCTAGATTATTACCAACATTCTTCCTTTAAAGAATACAACAACTTTTGCGCTAAATATCTTGATGATAATCCGAGCGTTACACATAATAAACTCAAAATTCGTGTCTTCTGCTATGCATTAGTGTCAAAAATCACGGCTTCAAAGAAGTATAAGGCTAAAGCAAAGACTAAGATGTAATGTAAACGTTTGAAATATATGGTTCAAATGTAATGTAAAACGAATTTTGAATGAAGTAATGAAATTGGGTTGTTAGCGGAATGCTAAATAAAACAGCAAAAAGGGTTATCTTCCATGTAATTCCACTTAATTTTGGTATCCATGACAGATACGTATTTCGACTACAATGTGCAGTCTTCATCAGTGTCATTCCCACTAAAGAACTTATCAAAATCTAACCCCCTTAAGATAACCCTTTTTGCTGTTTTATTTAGCATTCCGCTAACAACCCAATTTCATTACTTCATTATGATGGCTACCAAGCCTTTGGGGAATTTCCTTATTAGAGAGTTGTATAAATTTTTCTCCTTTAGCTTACTTAAATCTTTGGTTTTTATTAGTTAGGTAGGTTCCGATTCAACACATTGTAGTTTCATTTTTATACCTATGATCTTGACTTTTTTACCTAGGGGATGAGTACTTAAGGGGGTTAGATTTTGATAAGTTCTTTAGTGGGAATGACACTGATGAAGACTGCACATTGTAGTCGAAATACGTATCTGTCATGGATACCAAAATTAAGTGGAATTAAATGGAAGATAACCCTTTTTGCTGAATTTTGAATGTTTTAGGGATAACCACCCCATTTCCGGCCTATTAAGCACAACCCACACTTAGTCCTTCTTAATCTACCGCAGTTTAACACCAAACGGAATGTTATTACTAATGGCTTGATGGTAAATAATTTTTTACCTTTTCGTACGTACCGTAAGATTTGATAAAGAGAAACCAATCGTTGAGATATTTTCAGAAGTCTAACACTGCTTCTTGACGCCAAACTCGGCCTATGGATTCTAAACTCGGCCTAACGCATTGAAAAGCCATTGAAACGCCAATAAATTCACTTCGGCCTATCGGATGAAGATAAAAATTGATTCGGTCGGAGCGCTTCTTTTGTTTTTGGAAATAATGGGTGCAAACCTTCATATCACGTGTTCTCATTAACTTCGTTCAGTAGCTTACTAACTAAAGTATCGTACCAAACGCATAATTGACTTGTTCACTCTGAAATCATGGATTTATTTGAAGTTTTCTACTCGATGGCCCAAAATGGGCGATTAGGCCGAAGTAGTTCTCTACCCTATTTGTTTGTTTGTTTATTTTTTATTCCTCCTTCCCCCCTCGACTGGTGCAAGCTTCGAGTGACAAAAGAAAAACTTGTGATTTGTTCCGGCCTTATTATATAATAAATAAGCGATCTGCATACAATTTATAAACGTAAATCTTTAGCTTTCAATTTCAACAGAAACATATTACAGTGTGATTAAATTGTTTGTAGTTTTTAAAAACTCGTCTTCCATTAATAGGAACACTGTTCGTGTAATTGTGGTAACTGCTTACTTTGGTTCCTAAAATAGTGGAACACATAGGTTTCAAATAGATGCCACTATTATAGGAACACTACCGCAACTATAGGTGCAAAGAAGTCAAAATCTTATGGAAATTAATTGTTTTCCGTCATTTTTGGACTAATTTAACGTTTTAAATACAATGAACGCTGTACAACTCGATACTGAAGGGACTTTAGAGTTTTAGAATAACAATCCCATTCAAACAGTAGCCATGAAATTCACTTTTAGTATGGTTCTGTAACTCGATATCGAGTTAGTAGACATTGTGTTGTGGAGAGTAGACTGAATTCAAATTTACTTAAATTTATGAGAGCTACCGATGGAAAATAAATGTATGTGGTTTTCCACTAATATTCCGGAATTGTTTCCATAGCACAACTATAGGTACACCACTATTACTGGAACACCCACCCTATCAAAATTTTATTAAATAGCTGAAAATTTAAATGAAATAGCTTCAAAATCTTCTAGAACTGTTTTGTCATATTCCGTTGAAAATTATTGATTATTAAGCTAGTGGTATTACGATGATTCAACTGAGTGTCAAGTTTTGGTTAGCTAGCCAGTTTTGAACTAAAGATGATCTTTGTTAAAAGAAAGGCAAGTAGAACCGATTGCCATGAACCACTTTTCGACTACAAAAGCACTTAATTTTTAAAATGTTCTTGTTTCTTCATCAAACTTATCAAAGTTAAGAAAGGTGCTACCACCGCTTTCTATTTAATGTCACATCACACATTTTCTTTGAAATAGCAATTAAGAGCGCCAGCTCTTTACGTTAAAATTGATCAAACTGTATTTTTATCTTGACATCACATCAACACAATCACACCAAACGCATCATCATTTGCAGAAAACTACTCATTTCTTCTCATTACCATATATCGAATTTGCACCCCACACAAACACCGCCAGCAAGATTGCAGCACTAGGTCCAAGAACCTTCATCGTTACTGTTTATACCGCTAGTTCACTTTCACTTCCCCCAAACAACTGCAAACAACTATTTCGCGCTAAGCCCGCGTCTTTACACTAAACCTCGCCGCTAGAATTTCAGCGACCCGCTCAACGGTGAGTTCCACTTGTCAATCACGCGTGTCCAGCGCTCGCGGCGTCTCATTTACAAATGCCTCGGAGAAGCAGAATAGCACGCCCTGACATCCATATAAATCAATTCGGACGGGCTCTATCACCCGTATCGTTGCCATCATTAGTTGCCATCATCGTCATTGTATTTAGCAGTCATCAACTTCTCCGCGAAAGAGCCAACCAAGTGCGGTTGCATTCTTTTTTACTGCCCCTGATGTTTATCTACCGGTTATCGGCGAGAAGTACCTGCTTCAATTTAGGTAGGTACCTCTCACTGCGCACTGACTGCTGGCTGGAATCGTGACGGCTGGTGGGTGGCATGGCGGATTCAGGCACTCGTTTCAACCGCTAAATTGGTTGTCTGTGAAATTCGTTGTTTGAGCTTTGCCGCCCATCCAAAGTCAATCCAAGAAAATGTAGACGACAACGACAGTTCTCGTTTATGATCGGCAATCATCAAAATCTGGAATCATGCATGGTCACCGGGCTTTGTGCAGAAACTCGGAAAACGTTGTAAAGCAATGAAAAACAAAGCAAAATAAGTGTTTGCATGAAAAGGGGCTCCACTGATAAGCCGCATGGAATGGAGGGGAACACCTGATGATGCGGAATAGCATTCTCACCCATAAGTGGAAGTCTAGAGGAAGTCTACAACAATCATAACATCAGCAGTTCAATTAGGTATGACAGAACAGAGCAGTGTAACAGTACAATTCATTGAACATTGTCGGCCACTGTCAGATTGATCGGGAACTTTTGTGCCATCGGTCAAGAACATTAATGGAGATGCTTATGTGGGTGATAGCCATATCGGTAGTCAGTGATTCCCACCTGATTGAACAATGGCGAATCTGATTCACCTACCTAGCAAAGGTGCTTTATGAATACAAATCAGGGCCGATGCTAATCTGCAGATGGCAGAATGATTATCTCGCGAAGATAGCAAAAGACACGGGCTGACGATTATCACATCAGATTCATCATACCGACGACTAAGCAGTAATGAATGAACAAACTCTTCTAGTCTCGTAATACCTACGATTGAATTCCAAGCAATGAATCTAGTATCTGCTAAATAAAATCAACTACCCATTGACGAGCGGAAGAAAAACTGTGTCGGGCTTAGTATGATGTTTTGCAGCAGTACATCTGCAGCTCAAGTGATCTTGAAATGCATTCTCAATAACTAATTGTTTAACAATAGTGCTCGTGTTCCTCATATATCTTAGAGATGAAACTACACAGATAAAATGGATGGCTGTCACTTTCTTCAACGCAGCTGAATGTATTCGCTAGTTGGTGTTCGCTTGTTCGATCAACGTTTGAGCATTGTTCAGCGGTTTGAAACCCAAACTACAACAACGGTGCCGAGAGAATCGAATCTGTTCAACGTCGCTTTCTTCGTGTTGCGCTACGTAGATTGCCTTGGAATGATCCGTTTCGATTGCCCAGTTACGAAAGCCGTTGTCAACTTGTCGACTTAGAACCTCTCCGGACTAGAAGGAACACACGCAGAACCCTAACCGTGTCCGATATTCTGCAGGGAAGGACAGATTGCGAGGCTATCGTGAGGCAAATTGAACTGAATGTTCAACCCTTACCGCTCCGTATCAACCTTATGCTAAAACTGCGATTTTTGGACTGCAGAGAGTATTGAACAGAGTTGCATATGTCTTCAGCAAACCCCACACGCATCAATATATTGACGCGCAGGGGAATTATTGACAATAATATTGATGATGTGAATTCAGAAATATTGTCAATATCGATGTATTGACGTCAATATAGAATGTATTGACAATACGATTATTGTCAATAAAAGCAATCGTGTAGGGTTCACTTTCGACTTTCATCTCTCCCGTGATGCGCTTCGTCGAAAGTTATCTTCCGTTTTTCACCGGCAGGAGTAACTGATCATAAGATAGGGGAAATGGATGTAAGGTCGGTCGAAATGCCCCTAATTTGGGCCCATACATAAATTCAGCAATGGACTAAATTTTCATTAGCGACCAAAAATATCCTTTTGTACCGTCCCAATGACGAATTCATTAAAATTGATAAATAGCAGATTTTAAGCGAAGGGCCCAATCTTAGATCCATAGGCCAACGTTAGAGCCATTTCCATGTATGTTATTTTCATTAATTTTTTGTTTTTTGTTGAGACCATGGTTGAATGTATTTTTTTTTCTTGCTATACTTGACAAGGTTAACATCATTGCGGCTTCATCCAGCCTGTTGATTTAAAACTACAATAAAAGCATTTTGCAATTTTCATCTACAAACTGGAGCAGGTTTTTTAATACTATATCACGCGTTTAACGATCACTAGGTCAATGAATAAAAACTGGAATTTACACGTTTATGTAAATTAATATCGTTCTCTTTGAAAATTCAATTAATTTCAATTGAACTTTTTACAGTTATGTACACGTAATCGCATATCAGTTCCTTATGGATTTTTGTCAATTTTAAGATAACAACGCTATCCACTATCAATTGGCATCAACTTTCATATTACGTGATAAAACTACGGACTTTGATCATGACAAATGTGAAAACAACATCAAGCCAGTTTGTCCCATCAAGCAAAATATTCGCATATCAGCCCTATTCTGAAATTCAATCGTCCATAGTTCAAGCTAAAATTATGCTTTTCGAATTGCCTTATTTTTCACTTTTATAACAAAACATGCAAGCTCGATTGCAACAAATTTTAACTGGAAAAACATCAATAAGTTTACTATCATTTTTAAAATATTTACATGGGAATTGTGCATCGTAGCTCCGACGGCAATTTTTCTGAATGCCTTCTTTTTCTTTCTTATACAGTACATCTACCATTTATTTTCTCGATGTCGATTATTTTCTTTCAAAGTCAAGCCATACAAAACGGCAACGTTGATCTCGTAACATGATATAGTTCAGTTTCCAGCAAAATATTCTAAAAATGCTTTTCGTAAAGCTGATATAAAATCACCATGTTTCTTCTTCTTCTTCTTCTTCTTCTTATTTTTCTTATTCTTCTTCTTTCCTGTATTTAACGTCGGTCTCTGTTCCGCAATCTACACTGAACCAATAAGACATATTCCTGTTATGTGAAAGTCTAATAAATTTGCGCATTAAGAAAATCCAATGAAAACTATATGATTGAAAATGTGTCAGGTAAATTTTATATGAATACTAGCTGAGTGTGCCCGGTCTTGCTCGGGATTCAATATTAGCTTGAGTTTATGAGCCGATTTAAAAAAAAGCATGCTATATTGTACGTAGCCCCCCCCCCCTTAAATCTAAGGGGCTACCCCCTATGATTATCTCCTTATACCCCCACACTCGCTCCCACATGCCTAATTTGGTTCCATTTGCTTGATTAGTTCTCAAGTTATGCAGAAATTTCTGTTTCATTTGTATGGGAGCCCCCCCTTACAGAAAGGGGAGGGGTCTCGAACCATCATAAGAACCTTCCACGGCCCCAAAAACCTCTGTATACAAATTTTCACGCCGTTCGGTTCAGTAGTTTCCGCGTCTATAAGGGTCAGACAGACAGACAGACAGACAGAAATTCATTTTTATATATATAGATCTAATACATTTACAATGCTGACAAGTTGGTAACTTTTATATGATCGTCATATGATAAATGAAAATTAGTAAAATTATAAGAATTAACGGAAATGGATTTGAAGCCTATAAGCATAAGCTTTACTTGTTACTACAATATCATATAAATGTCATAAATCAATCTAATGAAAATTTAAATGAAAATCACATGAAATTTTCTTATGGCTTTGACACATATATTTAATCGGTTTTAAAAGTAAATAAAAAATAAACATCAGGCAGTGAAAGGTGGTGTTGTGCTTTGAGTGCTTTCACAGTTGCGTTTTTTTTTTATTGTAGCTTATTTGGGATTCGACCCAGGACTGTTGAGATGTGATGCTGTCTGTGTCTTCGCTTGGTCCCACTGGGCCACGGCTAGCTTTGAGATAGAGCTCGTTCAAAATTAGCATGAAGTAAGAACAGCTCTCCCGACATGAAATGTAGTGCAACATTATGCTCGTTTTGCTAGAGTGAATACAAATAGCACTGACAAATATATGTTCCGTTTCGGTGATGTCATTTGTTCAAATCTTTCTTAATGCACCTGTGTGCAATAAAACAACGACTAAATCAAATGTATTTTTAATTATAATCTTAGCAAAGTAAATATTGTAGTAGAATCATTTTTTTTTTCAATCTCAATTCATTATTTTCTGGAACCCCTTATCTTATGGGACAATAGCAAATAAAGATTATTCAATGGAGTATCATTGTTTTTAGCAATATTTAATTCGAATAACAGTCATGTTCAGTTCAACTTTCCAAAAACATAGCTAAGATGTGTTTGTTTATTCCCTAAGAGTTTCAAAAATATCCGACTTAAAATGTATTTTTGGGGATCATTTTTGTCTGTTGCATTTTTTTTTTTTTTCGAGAACAGTCTATGTAAAAGAAACTTGAGATAAATTTTTACAACAAAAATGTTATGTAAGCCCGTTTATGGCAAACGGTGTTGCTTGGGTAGTCATCGATAATTGGGTAATGTGTCCATAAACGTGCTTAGAGTTTTTTTTATCAGTATACATTTTAAATATTTTTATTTATTTATTTATTTATTTTATAGTCACTTTATAGGGTCATTCGTGACTTGTCCGAGGGTGAGATTTGAACTCGTGATTTTGGCATGAGATGTATGGATGTTAACCACTACGCCGGGTAGCCCCCATTTAATAATTATTCAAAATGGCACTATTGAAATGTGTAATGAATTCGCGTTTATCGCCTATGGCTCTAAAATTGGGCCCATCGCTAAAAATCAGCTATATATCTATTTTATCTGGGATATGGGACGGTACTAATGGATATTTTTGATCGCTATTGAAAATTTAGTCGATTGTTGAATTTATGTATCGGCCCAAATTAGGAGCATTCTACGCCAAAAAGTGAAATAATAGTTCTAATATCCATGTGCGATGAAACTAGAAATAGC